ACGAAATTGAGCAGAGGGACAATCAACTTACCGCTCACACCTTGTGTCAATGTCGCACCAGCCTCAGTGTTGCGGCTGTGCAAGCTGACAGTTACAACATCCTCGACAACCTTGTCTTCTCCAAGGGCGTTGGCCCACTTGAACACCTTTTCATCCTCACGCCCGTCACCAACGACCATGAGGAAGTCAACAGGGCTCTTGTGTTCCGAGTCAGGGGCCATGTGGACGCGGAGATCATCAAAGATCTTTTCTGCCGCGGTGCTCTTGGTCCAGTCAATGGGCTCAACAACAATGGAGCCATCGAGAGGAATGGCGTGGACACGCTGTGCCTCGCATGCATCGTTGACATGACTGGCACAGTCTCCAGCCTGGCGGGCTGCGGACTCGTAATCCTCGGCGCTCTTGTAGTGAAAGATCAAGCTGCAGCGTCGCTCTTCGATTTCGGCACCGGGGGTACGCTCGAGGAAGTAAGTCATGATGGACTTGACGGACTCTTTCCAGCTGGAAATCTGCTCTCTGTCGGCCATCTCCTGCCAGGTGTTCTTGCCGCAGTCCTTGAGGAAGCAGCCGTTCTCGGCAATGAGACCGAGGTTGGGTACGCGGCGGAATAATCGGTCGAGCTCTTCGGGGCGGCGGCCGGACATGATATAGACGGTGTTGCGCTCGTCGAGCAGAAGCTCGTTCAAGACATCCAGGGTACGCTGCTCCAATTAGACTTGTTAATAAAGCAGAGGTTCTTGAAAAGATTCTTACCTGAGGGCTGACAGGGATGATTTGGTTCATCGGGCCCCAACTAACCAAAGTGCCTTCGTAGTCGAGGATAAAGAGGCGTCGATTGCTACGAGAGTATCGTTGAGCCAGAGTGTTGATGTTGAGACGCGGGACCGAAGTCTGGTCGTGCTTGTGTTGCTCGTCGTATACGCGATCGAGGCGAGACAAGAATTCGCTGAACCAGTGGGATCCGGTGTGGTGCATGACGGCCGAGTAAAGCGCAGTCCAGCGGCGTTCCTTTTCTTCGTCGCCCATCTCGAGTGCCGTCTTGATCGCGTCGGCGCATTGGCGGTAGTCCCAGGGGTTGACCGAAAGCTCGTTGCCGCCAAATAGCGACGATGTACCAGTGAACTCGGACAGAATTAGCGAGCCATGCTTCTTCTCGGAGAAGACCTCGCCATCTTGGCAGAAGAGATACTCGTGCGATGTCAAGTTCATGCCCTCGCGCTGGCTCGTGATCATCAGCGCATCGGCCATGGTCAACAGGGCAAGGTACTGGGGGTAGTCGATATCCTGCTTCAAGTAGACGACGGGTTGGTAGGCCAGGTTGGCCCAGGAAGAGTTGACTCGGGTGACAATGTCGCTAACAGTCGCATCCAAATCAGACTTTTCGCTACCGGAGAGGGCGACTTGGATAAGGACAATCTTGTCGCGCCATTCGGGATTCTTGTTCAGGAACAGCTCGTAGGAAAGAAGCTTCTGACGAACGCCGCGAACGTGATCGAGCTTGTCGCGAGCTACAATGAGCTTCTTGCCCTGGTAGCGCTCCTTCATGATCTCGACCCATCTCTTCACATCGTTGTCGCCGCGGTGTTCGCTAAGGTTGACAGGATCAATGCCGATGGGCAAGTTAACCACGTCGACAAAACGATCCTCCAACTGCAGTCCATCAGTGGTTGCTTCGACACTCAGCAGCCTGCTGCAGGTCTGCAAAAAGTGACGAGTGTACTCGTGGATCTGGAAGCCAATGAGGTTGGCACCCAGCATGCCCTCGAGAAGCTGCTTGCGCACGGCCAAGCATCTGAAAACCTCGGAAGAGGGGAAGGCAACGTGCAGGAAGAAGCCAATCTTGGCGTCGGGCAGCTTCTTGCGTACCATGCCGGGAACGAGCAAGAGGTGGTAGTCGTGTACCCAGATAACGTCGCCGCGCTTCCAGTTCTTAACAATCTTGTCGGCAAAGGCCTGGTTGACGTTGACGTAGTACTTCCATGAGTGATCCTCGAAGGCCTTGCTCTTGGGGTTGTCGGGGATCTGGTAGTGGAAGACGGGCCAGAGAATCTGCTTGCAAAAGTGCGAGTAGTGGCCGTCGAAGTCTTTGTCAGAGCAGAAGACGGTCAGCATGTCGTGCTCGGTGGCGAGCCTATCCTCGATGTCCTGCTTCTGCTGGGTACCCTCGAGTGCGTCGGTGGGCATGCCGAGGGTGCCAACCCAAGTGTATTCTCCAAGCTTGCCATCGCGGGCAGCGGCCTCGGCGGCGTTGCGCAAACCACCGTTGCCCTGGTCGGCGTTCATAACGCGCCAGTTGGCGTGGGAAAAGACCCGGTCATGGCTGTCGCTTCTAACGAGCGGCCGAGGCTGGGTGATGCCCTGACGACCAAGTTCTCTAGCCTTCTCAAGGGTGCGACTGTGCTCGGCGATGAAGGCAGGCGGGGGCGAGCTCGCGCGGGACTTGGGCTGGGTGGCTCTAGCACCCCACTTGGGAGAACCTTTGTCGATTGGCGCACCACGCTTGCGCTCTTCGTCGGGGAATATACGGAAACCGTCCTCGTTCGTGAAGGGATCTTTCGGGACAACGTCTTCGGTCGGGGTGATGGGAGGTGTAATGTCGCGGATCGGGTTGAAGAGACTGGGTTGGTTGTCGCCTTCGGTTCGCTGAGACTTTTCGGACTTTTTGGCGCGGCGCAAAGGGTCGCCACGTTGAGGCGTTCCAGGGAGGGCGAAGTGGACGGTTTTAGGGAGAAATCTGGACGTCGGCAAATTAGTTCTTGATCTTGCATGACAAGGCGATCAAGATTGAAGCCCAGCAGCCGGTGGGAGTCTTGAATGGTTGCATGAGAAGTATCTGCGCAGAGGGGGGTATCCTGGCAGATACTTCGTTGACGTTGACGGAAAGGCAAGTAAGGCAGACACATCATAATCTTGAGACGGAGGAGAGCTTACAATGATGCGATAAATACCGTCATGTTGGGCAATCTGGCTAGTGGCTAGCCGTCTGTGTCGTGTGAAAGTGGGAAAAGGCCTCGGGGAGGTAGATGGTCCGGTTTGGAAGAGGCCGCCGAGTGATGGTAAGGGATCGAGGTTGAATAGAAGTTGACGTGGAGGTCGAGATGGAGGAGATGGGTAGCTACTAGCAGCTTTTCGTAGGGCAGAACATGTGGGAAGAGTCGAAGTGGTGTGTGGTTGAAAAGATCAAGTTGATGTGTTCTGGGTTGAGAGGTTTCTCCGTTGTCAAGGCGAGGGAGAGGAACCGAAGGCGAGGTGACGTTGTTCGTTTGTAACAAAGTACCTCTTGCTGAGAAAAAGCCCCTACAAAAGGACGGGATGGTGGATGAACAGACGGAGGGGTGTGTGTTTGTGGCTGAGGTAAAATGTGGGAGAGCAGTGAGAGGTGATTGGATTGATGCTTGTCTCAGACACAGCCGTAGGTGAAATGTGAGTGAGGATTCCTTTAGGTCAGGTAAGAAAAGTGAGGATGTAAAGGACTGGAAGATGAGGCGAGAGAGAATTTGGAAATAAAGAGCTGCCGGGAGCTGTGCAGTTAGTTGTAGTTGTTGCTGTGGCTGCTGCTACTGCTTGCTGTGTTGCTGGGAGCTGCGCAAAATGTACCGTCAGCTTTGAGCTTTTTTGTTTTCTTGGTTAATCAAGTGCTGGTCCTTGTCCCCGGACCAGCCAGAGCCTGAGCCTTGCGTAATGTAAAATAGCACTGGCTGACACTGGGCTGGGCGGAGGCGCATGCGTCAGGGAAAACACAGAAAACGGTTGGGCCAGTGAGCGATGCAGCTGCGAGGAATCGATCGGGGTGTGTGGAGGGGGAAAAGGGAACAGTGGAAACAGAAGAAGTGAGGATAATATGACGGGTACGGAGTAGTGTTTGTGTCTGTACAGAGAGTATCGTGAAGCGTTTGTCTTGTGTTCTTCTTCTTTCTTCTCCACGATGTTTCGGCATGCAACGTTTTCTCGAGAATATTCCAAAGTGGGGTGGGAATGCCGCTCTCTCGGTCTTTTTTTCTCAAACTTTTTTCTTCTCTCACCCTCAACCCTGGGCGAAAAAAGTCACGATGAGAGGGTGGGATTGGACGGGATGGGATGGGACAGGACAGGACGGGGATTGTACTCTAGTGCGAGTTTAAGGTGAGGGTGAAGTGGATGTGGTGTGGGCGTGGTGGATGTTGAAATTTGACTGGACTGTCACTGACCGGGAGAGCTGCAAGTGTGAAAATGTGGATGGAGCAGTGGGATTGGCCCGGAGGGAATTGGACGGACTCGACTGGGGTGAAGGCTGATGATGATGGGCTGTTGGATGGATGGTCCAGGGGTGTGGAAGCTCTCGGGATGGATTGCAACTGCAAGAGCCTGGAGAGCACGGGAAGTGGAATTGTGAGGATGAAATGATGAAAACCGTCTCCTTGCTGTGTACTAAAGGCATGGGCTGGGGAATGACGGACTGCAACGAAGCAAGCGTAGTTTTTGAAGGTGACGCCATTCGCGGAACGGCCCAGCCCACTCACTTATTATCTCATTCACTCACTCAACCGATTTTCTCTCTCTCTCTCTCTTTCTCTCTAGCCCTCTTACTCTTAGATAACCGGCTGTTTGAGGCCACGAGTGAGATGAGAGAGCGAGGTAGAAAGTGAGAATGAGATGAGGGTGAGGATGAGGTTGAGGATGAGAGTGAGAGATAAATCTGGCCGGGAAAGGAAAGAACAAAACAACAAAGGTGGACGGACGGGAAGCAACTGCCAACGGGCGAGGAACGTCACTGACGTAATGAGGAAACCGAGCTACGTACCCTGGACTCCTAAGCCTTGAGCTTTGAGGCGACGAATGCGAGTGGAAGCTAACGCAGTGCACGGAGACGTACCGTCGACAAGTCGAGACTGCGCAAAACGAGGCTAATGCACGCCGTCTACCAAGACGGAACCGGAGAGATACTCAGAGTCGATGTGTACCTCTTCGTATTACGGGATAAGTGCTGGACAAGAGAGAGCCTGGAGAGAGGCAGCTGCAAGATGAGATGCAGCGGGCAAGGTAGACGGGACCTCGAGCCTAGAGATAGAAAAGAGGCTGCCGCTAGCCAGAGAAGCTACCTTGATTCGAACCGGCTATACGCTCCCTGCGATTGGTAGGTATTCGTATGGTAGATTGTACTTTGAGTAGCTCGTCTGTAGCTTTGGTTGGATTTTGTTGGCCCTTGAGGCTTGCGTGGTGGTTGTGGCGGTGGTGCTATGTTGAGAATCCCGTTGGACCTGTCTTTTTTTGATTCTTTGAGGAGATAGGATTGTAGATTATTTCCCCTGATTTTCTAATCTGAATATGTTTCGCGTTTCGGGTCTGGTCATCAGCGTCCTTCGACTTTTTCTTCGCGGCGTCAAATGTCGTTTTAAGTTGGGCGCCCCGGGGTAGGGTGTTCCACGTCGCAACAGCGATGCACCCTCGACACTGGAGACCGGGTGAACGGCTAGGTAGACGGGGGGAGCTCGACCTCGAGCGAGGGAGGGGTGGGATTGGGAAGTGTGGATGGGTTGGGTTCAATGGGTTGGCCAGCTGCAGCCCTGGCAGTCGACAACTGAATGCACGTGTGGAATGTGACGGACCCGACGGGCCCACGACAGAGCAGACGTCCGGGAGAGTGGACAGCGATGTTCAGAGAAGGGCGACGAAGATGATGAAGTGGACGACGATGAGGCCGAAGACTGGAGAAGATGGAGGGACGCTGAAGGTTGGCGGTAATGCTGACGACGATGCTGAGTTGTAGTGGATAGCTTCAGGAGGTTTTGTTCCGCCAGAGGATCCAACTACACGGAGTATCTTGGTTTGCAGATGCTCGATGAATTCTGAGCTCCAGAAGGTGACGGAGATGGCCCAGGGTAAATCAAGGAAGAGCCGAGAAGACCAAAGAGCTAGTGTGGGGAACGAGAGGACGAGGGACGGGAAGGGAATCGAAGATCGGGATGGCAGGAGACTTTTAACTAGTCACACTCTCACGGCTCGGGGGTGATACTGCGTGGAAGATGGAAGAGCATGATTGAAGAATCCAAGGGAACTCAGTGATCTTGTCCCATTTTCCATGTCTGTCCTGTTCTGCCCGTCCCTCCTCCACATCGCTGAGTGTGAGATGCCTCTTTCATCCTACCCTAACCACCCCCCCTCGAGATAGCATGCAACACCATGCCACGCCATGCAACGGACATTTTCTACGGTTCCAGAGCGAGCGGGCGATGGGGCCCAGGCCAGCCGCCGTCTCGTCTGGGAAAAGCTCAATGTGAGAAATGCAACGTCTCTCCTTCTCGGTGAGGCCTCTCCTTATCCGCGTCTACTAGGTAAAGAGGAGGAAGTACAACTGTGTACATTGAAGTTGGTGTTGCCCATCACTTGTTGCTGTTGTAGTCTGACAACTTGACAAGCATGTTTCCCACCAGAATAGAAAGGAAGCTTGTCGCCGTTGGTGTATCATCCCCGAGCAACACGACCGAAACAGAATCCTACCTCATGCGGGAAGAATTGGAAGAAGCCAGGTGCCGCGATGGCTACTACCGGAACGGATTCGCGGTACGAACATCACCACCCTAGCTAGACCTTTGCCTTACTCCGTCCAGTACGTATCCGCAGAGACACCTCGGTTTCCATGCCGCTGTGACTTTTCAGAATCTTGGGGCTGACAGGGATGGTGATGCTGCCCATCTTCCCTGGTCAGTGGTCCCAAGGCAACGTCAGGGATCCTTCGGGAATGACTGGACGGAAGCCACAGCGCCGCAAAAAGACTGGCCAGTTTCGACAGCCATGTTCCTCATTTACAGGCACCTAGCGAACCACCAAAGGCTGCTCCGTAGCTGACCGGACGACCGAAAGGTTTTCTTATTACCCCAGGGTTCAAGACATTGAGACACGGTGGCGTGCCAATGATTGAAGAAAGCCAAAGCTGGGAAGCGCAAAAGACAAAAAGGCAAATATGACTGATGATGGACTAATGATGTGTCGTTCCCTCAAGGCCGACAGGAGCCGTGAGTATGACCTTTATCGTCCATCATCAGCCGGGACTCACAGCATCACACTGCGAATGGTCGGATTATCTCATTTGTGACTAAAAGAACTCCCTGTGGTCAAGCTTTCGGTCTGAAATTCCAACATGTCAGACCAGGACTGGCCGGCCTGGACTGTGCTCACTCAAACACTCACTCGCTCATTCACTCCCATCATGAACAGCACGAGCCAGTAGGAAGATGATGCGCTTCGTGACCCTGGGTTGGGTCTGCTGATTTCATGTTGCCATCAAGATTGTCGAGACAAGCCCGCTTGCACCCCTTGTTACCTCGTTCAGTCCGCCTCATTCAAGCTGAAGGGGCATGAACTGAGACTCATGTCATGGACGCTCTTTTCACCAGTGTTTCCTGCCTCTCTCTCACCCCTCCTGTCACGTCAATCAACCAAGTGCAACGCGCCAACAAGCCACTGCTATTTGGTGAGGTACACTTGCTAGATTGGCACAAACGGGGAGCGGAAGGGGCCCCTTTCGTGGGAAATGGAGACGAAAATACAACCATGCGTCGGCCGTGGCTGCTACAAGAAACATCCGGAAAGCATCACATCTGGTCTGGTAACATCACGTAGTCTTTCGCTTCTGACGTCTCTCTCACATCTTCGTCTAGTCTCTATCATCGCAGCCCCCTCTTCTTCTTGACCTTCACCTTGACTCCTCTTTTCTCCTTTGGGTGCGAATGAGGGGGAAACAAAAGACAAACACTAACACTAAACAATACCACCACCACCATCATAACCATCACTACGACCACCTTGTTCATCTTTCTTCAGCAGCAGCTCCAACAAATCATCACTGCCAGCCAGCCACCACATCGCCGCTTAGTTTTGCCCGACGAGATTCGGCACGAGCATCGATCACCACCACCATGGCCATCACCAGGTCCTCCAATAGCTCGGCGATACCACCGAGCGAGGACGTTCCCTTCCCTGAGAGCGTTGCCGCCCACCACCCTGGCGCGCAGACAAGCGTCGTTCTACGGTACAGCACGCCTGCACATCAACATCGACGCTGCATATGCACCTCGTGCGACCCCAGCACAGCCCGATATTCAGAGATAACCTGGTGCTTCGCCTTACGACGAACAAAACCCTTTGGATTGACGATACGCCACCCTGGGTAACCCATCCACTCGCCGCCCATCGCGTGGCCACCCTTTGACCACACGTCTAAGCACGCCTCGCTGACGAAATCCTGAAAGCTGAGATGAATGATTTTCCGGGCGGCTGTTTGTCGCCTGCAGCGCCTCCGATAGACAACTTTGAGATCTTGTCATCGTCGTGGAGCATTACGTTATTGATCCATCTGCCGTCAAGGAAGACTCCCTCGTGCCACCGCCAGAGAGCTTCAACAAACATTACTACGGGCCACGAACTAACATCGCATATTCCCCGGCAATGGTAATCCGAGAGCTTGTCCCCTGGCCTCCGTTGCCCACGTTAGACCTGATGCAACGCGGAACCCCAAACTCAATCCATCATGCAAGCTCTTAATTCCACCATTTTAGGCTCTCAAGCAATGCCTGGTAGGTGTCGCCCAGTGTTGGGAGAGCTCTACAACAAGCTGAACAAAAGACAGCTTGGGACCAGCAGAGTCCTGATTGAAGCTTGTGCAGTTTGACCGAGCGGCCAAAGCAACCTTCCAAACATTTTTCTTCTTTTTTGGCTCGCATGTCATGCTTCTACACCTTGGGTGGAATCTCTGGCTCTAGCCGGGTCCCTGGTCCCTGTGGAGTTGGGCTCGCGTTCCACGTTTTTGTCTTCTTCTTTTCTCCTGCCTTTCTCCCTCTCTGTTTCTTCAACGCTCAATACTTTTTATGGACCATTCTGATATGGAGCAGCTTGTTCATGTGACAGGAGGCCCCCCTTGAAACTAAAAAGGGACTCGGGGAGAGCCCCAACTTTGTCTCCATCATCTTCAAAGATCTAGTCAATCACCCGGCCAGTTCGGCCCAGCTTCCCATCCACCTTCATCCACCGAAGCGGGTGTGGCTCAACAGTGCCCACTTCGATCTTGAGGTTCGGAGAGACCACGGCGCGGGGAAACTTCGCTCTGGGTTTTCGGGTTCCGTCAGGATGCGTCTTATGAAGAAATTCCACAGGAACCCATGTCTACCCTCTACAGGCCCTATCATCGTTCAGGCTATAGCCCACTCTCACAGTCATCCTTATTCCATAGTAGAAGCATGTGCTTCCTGCAACAGTCCCAAAGGAGCGACTCGGCAGCAGATATCCAGGCAAGCCGTAACCTCGTCTGCCCCAACAAGGCGGAGACGGCGAGGGCCCGACAGCCTAGAGCACCGAGAGGTCCGAACCTGAACCAGGACGCGTGTTGCTACAAGTCTGGGCTATCGTGCAGCGCACCTGGGGTCCTGTACTGGTGTGTTGACTTATCATTTACCTCCACGAATTCTTTGGAGGCCTCGGGAAATGGTTGAGGAGCGACATTGGCCCCCTTGTTCCTGCTTACCATTTTTCACGATGCAGCCACAACCGAAGCGCGATATGACTGAGCCTTGGTCCCTGGAGTTGTTAGTCCACACATTCACAACAGTGCCATTCGCGTTGGGCAATATGCCATTGCCAAGGGTCGACGCACTCGCAGGCCTTTCACTGCAACGCCGATCGGCAACTAGTACGGCAATACAAGCTCGGCTGTGAGTCTCTCCTATCGCTAACCGCTTTGCTTGTCAATGTTTAGGTTGGGCACCAGAACCAAATATCACCAAGTAAGAAATGCCTCAACAGCGGCCGTTCAGCCGAAGTGGCTGTGACTCTGAGTTATAGCGGCCCAATCAACCTCAGGGCGAAAGGACTGGTTTCGAACATGAAGTCTTCCCTCCAGTCAAAGCTTTCATGCCAACCTCGTGGCATCCCACAACACAATCCACAGGAGAAATCCACAGCTTGATTCACTTCAACTCCAAATCGATGTCCCATCCTTCCCCACACAATGAGACCCCAGTCCAGACGACATGTTCCCCTCACATCAACCGCAGCCGCGCTGCACCCCATTTCTGTTCTATTCCTTCGATCTAAACTTCTCAAGTCTTCCTGGACACCCTCATTGATACTACATCGCCGACCACTT